GAGACATCGACACTCAACCCGGTATATACTGATCAGATAGTATTCATCCAAACTTTGAAACTCTCCCTTGTAATTCCAGCCTTTTATTTTTCTGACAGAAAGAATTTTTTTATAGTATTCACAAGACTGTCAAGCGGGCACTCATTAAGTTTTGCATCAGTTTTTATTTTCAAAGTATAATAGCAAAGATAGAGAGTGGGCAGATGTCTGATGTTGCTGGGCAGTATGGCTTGAACAGTAGTCCTACAGTAGGCCGCAGTTCAATCTTATCTAAGAAAGATACAGTATAATCAAAAAGACTAGCAGCTAACAGAGTAACAAAAATCACATCTAAGAAATAAAGTATATTGAAGAGCTCAAAATGGAACCTGACAACAGAAGAATGCCAAGAACTTTTGAATGAAGAACACCAAGAAACTCAGCGAGATATGTTTTCTTCTGAAAAAGAGGATTAATGCCAATATCTGCTATTAAACATCTTTTGAAGAAGAGGAAGGATATCAGAACAATGGTCTTAGAATGACATCCAATCAGATTGAGGTTAATAGGCTTAGGGATCTCCACAATTATAATGCTATTAATTACTTCTGAAAAATCCTGAAGATGAGAGAAAAGCAATTGACATTAGACAGATTCTTTAACCCCCACAAACAGAAAAAACATGACTAATAAAAATGCAAGACTGTATATATGTATTTTTATTATCTATATATATAAAAACGAATGTATGTCTGTGTGTCCTCCATGCATTACTACACCATTATGAAACTTTGGGAAGTTGTTTAATACACTCCCGCGAAAGTTTCTGGCATAGTACATTTTTCCTACGATAAGTGGCACGCGTGTATTTAGCATTTCAGTGCAGTTAGGAGTTGAAACTTAAAATTTGGTACACGTTTAGGGTACATCACAAAAACGCACACTAAGAAGGAATTTTTCAAAATTCCCCTCCGCGGGGAAAGGGACAGGATTAAGGCTTCAACAATGAACGTGTTAAGTAACAATAGAAGTGTTAACAATGGAAGTGTTAAGAGAAAGCAACATGCAAGATTTACAGGCGAAGATGTGGTTTTTTGTGTTTTTGCGGGAAATCAAACATAATTTTAGACCCATCTAAAAATTTTCTAATTAGTCTGGAAACAGGGGAACCTAATTCTTACATAAGTAAGATTGGCTGTAATGTAATAATCTTAATCTTTGCTATCGTTACTTTTTGTCCAAGCAATGCCAGGTTTATCTGCTAGTTACACATAAATAAACATAGTAAGAAAGTATATATTTTTTTATTTTTTGGAGTTTCCAGAACAAATTAATCAAATTCCCATAAAAACTTATGGTAAATCAATAATCAATTAACAAACAATTCAGATAGTGAACAAAGTCTTGGAACGAATTATGTTTGTTAATCGATCACCCACTGTATATATGTTAAAATGAAGAATTTTTTACATTATAAAAAGAAGTGAAAAATAAGTTAAAGCCAAATAAAATTAATTTCATCCTTAAATGTTTATTTTAATAATTAAATGCTTTCAGGATGATGTCAATTTTCAAGATCTCATATAATTTTCACAAAATTCAAGCATATAAAATAATTATTTGATATATTGTATTAAAATAAACACCAATTACTTATTTAAGAATATAGGTTATCTGCTTATAACAAATTTTATTAGTTTAAATATAAATATTGATCTCGAAATTTATGATTAATAATATAGTTAGTGATGGTTTTTGGTCTTTTTATAAGATATTATGTAAGTCTAATTTTTCTTTTCAATTACCATATATTATCTAATTCCTTCTTGTTATTATCTACTTTCAAATTTTATTCATAGACATTTTCAAAATCCTTTTGAATAAATGTTTATGAATTTTAATCATGTCTCTTAATTAATCATATATTTTAGAGTTGAATCCTCAGTTTTCTCTTGCAGAAATAGCAGTAAAAATAGGAAATGTGCCTACAATGCATTTATGGCCTGAAGTTGAGAATTGAATGATCACAAACTATACAAATTTCATTTCCATTCCCATTCATGGGAGGAATCTTACATTAAACTGACTAAATTTTTTGCTCTTGATAAAATAAACCTGGCACATTATTAGATGTGGCTAAAAAAGTAATGTATACAACACTATAACACTATAAAATGTGTAGAAATATTTTCAATAAAACAATTTAAAACTTATTGTTATGTACACCATTTGACTGTTGAGTTTGTACACTTTATAAGTTATAATCTTACAAGAATTTTTTTTTAACAATGACCCATTTGTTTAAAATTTAGCCTACCATTTCATAACAATTGGCTTTGCACTGCCAACAACATTAAGCAAAGTAAGTAAATACTATCACAATTAGTAGAAATCCTAGTTTTATTGACTAACATTAAAAGGCAGGTTAAAACAATTAATAAAAATCTTCATGTTATATATGTATATTTTTAAATTATTATTATTATTATTATTAATTAATAGTAATTTATCCAGCGTTGTTTGCCTGTTTTTGCAATACTGTCTTGTAATATATGCAGTATGTCTTAGTAATATAATGCCAAAAATTTATTTGCTCTCAATACAGAGGTATAATGATTGAAATGATTAATATTTAACATTTAAAGCATTGGTTTGGACATTTTTAAGCTATCATTTCATGCTATTTACCCAAAAATAACAATAATTATAACAATAAAATATGACTATAATCCAAACAAAAACATCTGAGATGTAAACAAATTGTGTCAAGTAAAAAATTATGACAATTTAGATGACAGTCAAATTTTTTTCTTAGGAGTTTTTCTTTGGTAAACATAAGCTTGGTGCTTGAAAGCAATATGTACAAGATTTTTATTGTTGTTTTCTACATTTTGCTTTGAAGTGCCAAGCATATCTTTGCACTTTTTGGTTAATGATTGTGTTATTACATCAAGACTTAAAATGACATACTGTATAGTTCGATAAGTGTATGGCAACCAAATGCTTTCAATACACCATTATTAAACTTGTTATAAAAAGATTTAATTCACATAAATTTGAGCTTTTATTATTCTGGATAACATTTTGAATGAAAATCATTTCTTTCAATGCAATTTTATCCTTGTAAGCAAGAAATTAAGCAATAAAAGTATATTAGCTCTAAAGGAACCCTGTAAACTTTCACATATCAACTTGAAAGTGTTGTGAGCATTTCACTGATAACGATAAAGGCTTAAAATTTGAGCTTTCTAGACCCAGTAATTTTTCTCTAAAAGTATCTGCAGTTCTGTATGAAGGAAAAAGAAGAAAATACAGCTTTTTTTGGCAATGTTTACACTTTTCAATTGCTTATATTTCAGAAATCTCCTTATGGAGAAACGTGAAATTTTGCACACTTCCTAAGGAAACAATTATCTTTCAAACAAGATATTCAGAATTACTTTTAGCATTTGGGAGCAGAGAAATCAACCCCCAAAAATTGGCAACTTTCATTCCTGTACATATAGTCAGTCAGTGACTTTTTACTTGGCATGGAGTCACTGTCATAACTCTTGAAGTACACACATTTTAAATTATGTTTGAGATGCATTAATTTTGTAATGTCCACAATTACAATAAGCAGATACACATGCTGTATTTCATACAACATGTGATTTTCATATTACTTTTTTTTTTCTTTCTGAAGCTTTAATAATAAAATTCTGAAAACATTTTAAACAGGAGGAAAAAAAATGTTAACTTTCATTAAATAATGACAATTATAATAATTTGAGTAGAAGTTACTTTTAGATCATTCATTTATAGATGTATATAGAGTTGGAGCTCCTATTGTCAACCTCTTCCATTACTCGAACACAAACCAAAATTCATACATTATTAGTCCAGCGGAGCAGTTTAGGCAAGCCATCTTTGAAGGCAGACACAACCCCATTCTCAATGACACAAAAATAACAGTATGCCTCACTCACAGTTATTGGAAAATTATTGCATGACACTCCTTCTGGTAGTCAACCACCTAGCAAGGCATCGTCGGATATTTAGAAGATAATGTCCATTATAGAGCTCACTCATCCTTTTGCAGTCGCCACATTTGTCAGACTATCGACAAAGGAAAACTCAGTCGTCTACCGTCACAAACAATCACACATTGGCCTCTTTGTGCTCTCTGAGCGGTAAGGGGCCTAAAACCACAAAAAAAAAAAAACAATCACACAACATGTCGACTACTAGATGAACAGCCCAGGATCGAATTATTTTTTATAATGTAAACAAGGGCCTAATAATAAAAATTTTTTTCCAGCAAGTACAGAACAAAACATCATTTTCATATATAAATTTTGCTTTCCATGTTACTACACATCATAATAAAAATATCAAAGTCCAAAACAGCTTTAAACAGTTGACTACCTATGCCACTACTCTATAAACCAAATAACTTCTACCTGAAAGTTTGGTTTCTTTGTTTGTTTAGTTTAGTTAAGTTATGGCGATGCAACAATTGGGCAATCTGCCTAGAGGGAATGCCTTCCGGGAAGTCTTTCTAAGGGTAATTGGCTCCTATTCGGGCATTACAGACGTGGAGAAAATCCAGAAAACTCCACGTTGCCAGCCTGTCCCGGACAGGCACCAAACTCCCACGAGAAATTCCCCGAACACTCCCAGTGTTCGGGGAACTGCTCGGCCATAGGTGAGCCCCTAAAACTTAGATAAAATTGCAGTTTTGAACGAAATGTTTGAGCCTGACAAACCCCCTTGGGCCTTCAGTTTGAATGAGGTGGTAGGACCACATTCAAGCTGAATTTGTGCCAAATTATATTGAAATCAAAACGTTCGATCTCTCATTCGTACAACGAAGTTATATTATGGATAAAATATAATTTCTCTTTATACACATACACGTATATAATTATTATATACGCACATATAGCAATTAAAGATTGAAATTTCGTGTCGTTCTTAAAGAAATCGAACTGGTATATTTGTCATTCTGTAAATAAAACAATAAAAATAATATCACTTACTTGCTTGATCGGTTGGATTCATATATTTACCACTTTTAGTGGTATTAATGGATCTTCGACCCATGATTGTGCTTTTGATATTTAACAATAAATTTAAATCATAAAATAGAGACTTCGAAACACGGAATCTAACAACATTAACACACCAACTATTCTCGACGACGACAGAGCCATCTGGCTACAAAAAAGATTTTTTTTTTTTTAATTTATTTTGTATTTGTAAATTAATAATAATAATTTTTAATTAAGTAAGTAACTTTTGATGAAGTAATTACATTTGAAAATGTCACTCTGAAAATTTTCTAAAGTTATAAACATGCGCGATAGTAATACTGTAGATACAGTATATACACGGCCGGATGGCCGAGCGGTTGAGATGTCAGCTTACCGCTCTGGAGGACTCGGAAATAAACCCGTACGGGTCAAAACCCCAAGGATTTTTCATCCCTCACAATGCGGTCGCCCCATTGTGGGCCTGGCCGAACCCATAATGTGCTTATTAAAAAGTCTCTCTTAGTGCCCACAGGGTGGAAATAATTTTCAAATGTTTTTTTGCTTTTAATTATCACTTGTCTTCCGTTCAAATTTAATCTATATACACGAGGACCCTTGTTTGTTTGTTTTGTTCGGTATGCATGCCTATACCGTACGACCAATCGCTATGAAACTCGGCAGTTACGTTCAAATACTTCCAACTTAGATAATGTCATAATCCCATCCCAAATTATTGATTGAATTTGTATGTATCGATTAATTAATTTCTGTATACATTTGATTGCTGTCTTTACGTGTAGCGCCATCTATTGGAAAAAATTAACAAAGTAATTAACTAAATATAACTTTTACAAAAAAGGATATAATTTTTGAAAATGTATATTATATTCACTAAATTATTACGACAATGATATAACGTGTAATAGGCACGCCATTATGCCATTACTGCGAGAGGTAGTACAATACTTGCCTGCCTGGAATATAGTAGTGTTTTGCCCCTGTAAATCATACTTTTCCTGTTAGAAATAGAGTCGTGCCGGTTATATATCTAATTCCGTTCGGGGCAAAATTTTTGAATCGAAATAACGTGACTTGCGGTACAAATCGGAAGTTCATTATAGTTAATCTGGTTCTCTTTCTCTCACGATTTTAATGTCTGGAGTGGACACCAGACACGAAAATCTACAGATTTGTCCCAGATTTAGGGAATTTTAGTTGCGTAGATTTTGGGAAATTTAGGTAAATTTTAAATGTAAAGTATCTTGTATCTCATACAATCTTTTGCCACTTTTATTAATTAAAATTCATTCATGATCAATAAAATATTTTATATGTGTGCTCTCTTTGATAGCCATTAATATTGATAACATTAAACCTCCGTTAACTATTGCATCACATACAGATTATTGTATTCTATAAGTTACTGTTATATTTAACTAATATTAATCATTTTTTTCCTTATAAATAATGATTAAAGCTACAGGTAATTTTTTTAAAACTCTTTCAGNATTCTATAAGTTACTGTTATATTTAACTAATAGTCTATTAATTATTTTTTTCCTTATAAATAATGATTAAAGCTACAGGTAATTTTTGAAAACTCTTTCAGCTTTGTGGGAACTAAGAGGGAATTTTTTAGCCAAGCTTGTTGTGAATCCAACGAATTCAAACAGACAACCACCGGAAAAATTCTTAGGGTTTACCACCCATCTGGACTCAGGTCTACTGCAGCGGTAAGTGTCTTAACTTCAGTAGACCCCTATAAAACGGGTTCGTATAATGCGGATTTGTATGTCGCGGCGAAAAAATTGCGACCGTAATTGTATAAAGAGACTAAAAGAGACTCGTAAAATGCAGTAAAACGTCATCGTCAACTCGTGTCGCGACAGGATTGGTCGAGTCTGGACCAATAGTGGACGAGCAACCGAACTACTTACACGCTATGGAGAGTTTAGGCTCGTAAGTTGAGTTTACTATCGTCTGTACAGTATATAAATTAGGTACTGTAAGTTTAATACAGTACTGTAATTTTATACATTTCTTGTGAAAAAACATTTCTTATTCAATGGCCATAAAAATTATTTCTATTAATGATGTCTCCAAAGTTCATCGAATTTTTTGCAGAAAAATAACTTATTAAAAAACGCGCCCGGCGTTTGGTGCGCTGCTCCGCGACGAAAACAAGCTTAAGCAATGGGGTCGTCGAACGGTGCACACTCGGTAAGTAATCCTACAATTTTTTGTTTATAGCATAGTTTATACGGATTAGTCCCAAAAAAATTATACGTGTTTTGGAAATGTTGAGTCGAATTAGTCTAGAATCGATTAATTTTATGGAAGAAAACCTTTCAAACAGCCGTAGTTCGTAAACTGCACACGTGCCGGGCTGTGATTGGCTTATGTATTTAAGGATTCCTACAATGCGAAATTCTTATAAAGTGGAACGTATCTACCACGTTATAGGGGAGTCGACTGTGCTACATTTATACAAATGGTCTGTTCTAATGCAATTTGTATGAGCCTCTACCATTATTCAATCAGCAGGGGAACGTAGGGAAATTAACCGAAAAATATAAGAAAAACAAAATTTCACTTGATAACCATAGTTTTGATGCACCAATGTCTATATTGACCGTTCAGATGGCGTCTAAAACGTACCAGTTGGGTCGCGCGGTATCTTACTGAGGCCAATTTTTATTTTAAAATAGTGAAACTATCGGCATGGCATTAAAATCTATGATTATATTTTTAATTTTTGCATTTTGTTTTCTTTTTAATGGTGAAAATACTCGTGGATTGAAAATGCGTTTTATTTTCACTGATGTTTCATGTGTGCATAACAAGGCAAAGTATTGGAATCATGTCCAAAAAAAATCCATGTATGGTCGTGTAATACGAATTCCTGTTTGAACTTTCTAAAACACATGATAACATTAGAATAAATGAATTCACTCCACATCTGTAAACTTCATTTTAATAATTTTATTTATTAGAAAATAAAAACATTTTAATTTTTAAAGCGAAACAATTCAACTCGATTAATGTTATGACATATCCCCGCGTTTCTTTATGCAGCGAGAGTGTAGCGAAATGACGTCACGAGCAGTGTTGGCCAATTAGAAACCAGTTTCAGTGTGTTCGCTGTAAAGCGCTTCTCGAGCTCTGCATAAAGAAACGCTGGGTATTTGTCGAAAGTAACCAATTGTTAGAATGAATTGTTGAAGGATTCCATTGTTTGCGCCGTTTCGTTGGAAAAGAAAACACGGAACCGAGAAGAAGAAGAAGAAGAAGAATCGTTAAGCTGAAGTCGGCCCGCTCGGAGGTAAGTGTCTCCTTTTGAACTTGGAACATTTCTGGGACAATTTTCGTTAAAATTGTGAAATTTTTTCAGGCAAACGTTGGACTCCGGATGGAACCGCGAAGATAAGACTTAGCGTTAACGATTCTTCAATCGTTAACGTTAAACACATGTTATTCAAGTGTGAGTTAGGACAAATGAAACTGGTGATTAACATCACTTGTGGAGTTGCATTCTTTCCAACTCTCGGTGGAACTCTGACGCAGCCACCTCCCCGTGGTGAGTTCTAGGTTGCCATTCGTTTGGAAATAACGAAGGGCAAGCGAAGAGTTGCGTGTTTTTGTTTATTTTATTATTATAAGAAGGAGTAAAAATAAGCCAATACACGTAGGAAAAACAGAAGTAAGAAGCAGTTATTTATTGTGACAACGTCACAACGTCTTGTCCTTGTGCATCGTAATTTTTCTCTTAACAATAGAATTACAATTTTCATCCAGCAACTCGTTGCGTATCATTCTCAGCCGTTAGAAGATTTTTTATTTAAAAAATAACTTTATATCATTAATCATAATAAATAAATAAAATTGTGTAATGGGATTTTATTACAAACTTTTTTTTAAAATTATTATACAATGGTAAAAACTCTAATTTATAGGGTAGGGATGAGTTTGTAAATGCTAATAACGAAGAAAATCTTCATTAAGTCCGACCCCCCTCGATACAGTAAAACTTCGTTATTTCGAAACTCAAAAAAAAAAAAAAAAAAAAAATCTATACAAAATCTATTTGGCGCAATGGTTAATGTTACCCTAGGTATCGAAGATGGCGGCGCTTCCGGTAACCTCGACGGCATGCGCGTTTAGAAATGAAATATAGAAGGCGCTTATCATACTGACGGTTTCGTATGCAAATTTTCTTCAAAAATTTCCGCTCGGAAGAATTATGCAAACTTTGAGTTCGGTTACGGTGTAGACGGACGATGCATGTTGTTATATTTTCGAATGGCGTTCGTGTTTTTTTTTTTTTTTTTTTTTTNTTGTATTCTATAAGTTACTGTTATATTTAACTAATATTAATCATTTTTTTCCTTATAAATAATGATTAAAGCTACAGGTAATTTTTTTAAAACTCTTTCAGCCCTGTGGGGACTAACAAGTAAGATAGAATTTTTTAGCCAAGCTTGTTGTGAATCCAACGAATTCAAACAGACAACCATCGAAAAAATTCTTAGGGTTTACCACCCATCTGGGCTCAAGTCTACTGCAGTGGTAGGTGTCATAAGTACAGTAGACCCCCTATAACGCGAGTTTATATAATGCGGATTCGTATATTGCGGCGAAAAAATTGCGACCGTATTCGTATAAAGACGCTAAAAGAGACTCGTAAAATGCGGTAAAACGTCATCGCCGACTCGTGTCGCGACAGGATTGGTCGAATCTGGACCAATAGTGGACGAGCAGCCGAACTACTTGCACGCTATGGAGAGTTTAGGCAGGTAAGTTGAGTTTACTATCGTCTGTACAGTATATAAATCAGGTACTGTAAGTCTAAAACAGTACTGTAATTTTATACATTTCTTGTGAAAAAAACATTTCTTATTCAACGGCCATAAAAATTATTTTTATTAATGATGTTTCCAAAGTTCAGCGAACTTTTTGCAGAAAAATAACTTATTAGAAAACGCGGCCACCATTTGGTGCGCTGCTCCGCGACGAAAACAAGCTTAAGTAACGGCATCGACGAACGGTTCGTTTGACGATGCCGTTACTTAACAACAAAAAATTGTAGGATTACTTATTGAGTGTGAACCATACTCAGTAAGTAATCCTACAATTTTTTGTTTATAGCATAGTTTATAAGGATTATTCCCAAAAAATTATACTTGTTTTGGAAATGTTGAGCCGAATTAGTCTAGAATCGATTAATTTTATGGAAGAAAACCTTTCAAACAGCCGTAGTTCGTAAACTGCAAACGTGTCGGGCTGTGATTGGCTCATGTGTTTAAGGATTCCTACAACATGAAATTCTTATAAAGTGGAACGTATCTACCACGTTATAGGGGGGTCGACTGTGCTACATTTATACAAATGGTCTGTTCTAATGCAATTTGTATGAACCTCTACCATTATTCAATCAGTAGGGGAATGTAGAGAAATTAACCGAAAAATATAAGAAAAACAAAATTTCACTTGAAAACCATAGTTTTGATGCACCAATGTCTATATTGACCGTCCAGATGGCGTCTAAAACGTACCAGTTGGGTCGCGCGGTATCTTACTGAGGCCAATTTTTATTTTAAAATAGTGAAACTATCGGCATGGCATTAAAATCTATGATTATATTTTTAATTTTTGCATTTTGTTTTCTTTTTAATGGTGAAAATACTCGTGGATTGAAAATGCGTTTTATTTTCACTGATGTTTCATGTGTGCATAACAAGGCAAAGTATTGGAATCATGTCCAAAAAAAATCCATGTATGGTCGTGTAATACGAATTCCTGTTTGAACTTTCTAAAACACATGATAACATTAGAATAAATGAATTCACTCCACATCTGTAAACTTCATTTTAATAATTTTATTTATTAGAAAATAAAAACATTTTAATTTTTAAAGCGAAACAATTCAACTCGATTAATGTTATGACATATCCCCGCGTTTCTTTATGCAGCAAGAGTGTAGCGAAATGACGTCACGAGCAGTGTTGGCCAATTAGAAACCAGTTTCAGTGTGTTCGCTGTAAAGCGCTTCTCGAGCTCTGCATAAAGAAACGCTGGGTATTTGTCGAAAGTAACCAATTGTTAGAATGAATTGTTGAAGGATTCCATTGTTTGCGCCGTTTCGTTGGAAAAGAAAACACGGAACCGAGAAGAAGAAGAAGAAGAAGAATCGTTAAGCTGAAGTCGGCCCGCTCGGAGGTAAGTGTCTCCTTTTGAACTTGGAACATTTCTGGGACAATTTTCGTTAAAATTGTGAAATTTTTTCAGGCAAACGTTGGACTCCGGATGGAACCGCGAAGATAAGACTTAGCGTTAACGATTCTTCAATCGTTAACGTTAAACACATGTTATTCAAGTGTGAGTTAGGACAAATGAAACTGGTGATTAACATCACTTGTGGAGTTGCATTCTTTCCAACTCTCGGTGGAACTCTGACGCAGCCACCTCCCCGTGGTGAGTTCTAGGTTGCCATTCGTTTGGAAATAACGAAGGGCAAGCGAAGAGTTGCGTGTTTTTGTTTATTTTATTATTATAAGAAGGAGTAAAAATAAGCCAATACACGTAGGAAAAACAGAAGTAAGAAGCAGTTATTTATTGTGACAACGTCACAACGTCTTGTCCTTGTGCATCGTAATTTTTCTCTTAACAATAGAATTACAATTTTCATCCAGCAACTCGTTGCGTATCATTCTCAGCCGTTAGAAGATTTTTTATTTAAAAAATAACTTTATATCATTAATCATAATAAATAAATAAAATTGTGTAATGGGATTTTATTACAAACTTTTTTTTAAAATTATTATACAATGGTAAAAACTCTAATTTATAGGGTAGGGATGAGTTTGTAAATGCTAATAACGAAGAAAATCTTCATTAAGTCCGACCCCCCTCGATACAGTAAAACTTCGTTATTTCGAAACTCAAAAAAAAAAAAAAAAAAAAAAAAGAGGTTTAGTTTCTAAGCCAATTTTACATTCTGAAATGAACAGTAGGTGCCAAGTGGATCTCATTGATTTTCAGACTCAACCTGATGGAAAGTTTAAATTTATCATGGTCTACCAAGACCACTTGACCAAGTTTATTTTGCTTCGTGCTTTGGAATCTAAACGAGCTGAAGAAGTAGCCTACCATTTGAATGATATATTTTTGACAATAGGTGTCCCGTGTATTTTGCAGTCAGACAATGGNAATTGTTTTTACTGTTTATCTGTCGGTTAAAACTTGCCTTTTACAATGCATTCTACGCCGTTTTAGTTTTCCACTAAGTGACGTTCGACTGTTCGTGCTCCCGACGGACCACCCGGAGGTTAATGATTCATCCTTTACTGTTCGTAAAGTTATCGATGGTTTTCAGGTAGTATGGTGACTTTATTATTTTTCGTCTCCGGTCCAAAAGTAGGAAATGAAACCAAAAAGTACGGGAAAAAGTAAGTAGAAAATTTACGTTTTAAAAATGTTTTAGTTTAAAAAAAAAAAGAATAAATAAATAAATATAAGCGCGTTTTGGTTATTGTCGACGGTCGCTATCTTGTTTGCACGCGTGCATGAGCAAACAAGATGGCGACCGGAAGCACCGACCGAATTGGAGATCGCCGCCATCTTCGATACCTAGGGTAACATTAACTCAAAAGGACTACATAATGGAAAAGACATTTACTTATAAAAGAAAATTTAACGTCTCAGATCGATCCTCAATGGTTTCAATTAATAGAGGACATTCCACCACATACAATATAATTAGAAGTTCAGTCTGTGTTGAACTATACTGTAATATCTCATGTGGTTGTTATACTGATGTGAACATTAGTGAGTGTTATGTTTGAATTTATATAAATAGATGGCAGAATATAAATGTAAGTACAATTGTACCTTTTTTATGTTGTCTTCGAAACCGTGTTTGATAAAATTGTTGGACTTCGAACTCAAAATTGAGGGTTAAATTCCAGATACGTATACCGTCATGGCGGCTCATCTCTGATTCCAGCAAACAAAAGAAAGGAAAGGGTGGGGATGCACGTTCTAACCTAACCTATTCTAATAAATTACCATAATTATTACCAACCAAATTATTAGAATAGGTTAGGTTAGATTAGAACGTGCGTCCCCACTGTTTCCTTTTGCTGGAATCAGAAGTGAACCGCCATGACGGTATACGTATCTGGAATTTAACCTGCATTACTAGGTCTTTTAACCAATCGACACATACAACTAATCTCACAATAAATGGAGTAATTCCCTTTACATTAAAATCTGCCATAATCTTTTGCTTGTTTCACAATATTCAACTATTACAATATCTAAGATGATGATATATTTTTTTAAAAATTGTATTGTAACATGTTACACTTATACAGTACTTCAACCGTAAGAAAAAACCGACTTGTAGTCATCATTTTTACAACAAGTTAAAAAACAGTAGATACATAAAATTGGATGTAATTATAAAGTAAGATTTGAGTTTTTATGTAATAATTTTCTGTAGTAAATTGTATTTTATGTCATTTAAAAAATCTTTTTGTGTGTATTCATGGGTAAGCTCAAATGTATAATGGAGTTTTAAATTATTTTCTCTCTAAAACATGTAAGTAATATTGTAAAAATAACAATGTCGGGTTTTTAATCATGCCATTGTCCTTTAATAGCACTAAAGAGGGGCTGTGAAGTCACAACAGCCCGAAATGCATATGTACTGTACAGTACAATCCGTGTTAAAATTGTTATTATAAAGTCTTGAGTCATCCAACTGGAGTTGCTGTGGGAAAATCAACTATTACGGATTAAAGTGATTTTATACACATCGATATTATACAGCATCCATGTTATGTAGAAGAAAGAATAGACGTGGACATTAAATCCAGATTAGTGACACTTACAAGACGAGTTGAGATCTTAAGACATGACATGAATTACCTTAGATATTCCTTAAGAGGACCTTGAGGTTTGCGGAACCTTGAGGTTTGGTGAAGAAATGTAAGGGGTTTCACAGGATATATGGGGAGCCGGGATAGAATCCTGGTGAGCAATTCAAGGAATATTTTGGGAATGGTCTGGACATATTCCGAACCCCTTCCTTCACACTCGAAATCCGTGATTAGTATGATTATATAGGCCTTCTTATTGTCCACAGTGCGTAGTCATAAAATAAAAAGGGGGTTCTACCAAACGGAAATGCGTAATGGCGTGGAAGAAATTTATTGCCGACCTAAATTTGTATGTATTTTAATTAAATTTAATTAAAATACGTACAAATTTAGGTCGGCAATGAATGTAATAGAATGTAATAAAGATTGAGCCAAAAAATAATAATTAAATATAAAATATTAATTATTATTTAGTTTAAATAATCAGGTTTATTTAATTAAATGAATTAAAAATAATTAACTATAATAGAATAAGTAAAATAAGAAATTCGAATGTTCGAAAATTTAATATCTAACGTAGGTTGGAATCGAACGAGAAATAATTTCGAAGTTAATTTGACGATAAAAAATAAAATTTATTGCATTTACAAATAGAAAATGCCTCCAAAAAAGGAAAAGAAGAAGAAAATTGCCATAATCGCTCAGCCTTTTGGAATGACTTATGAAGAGAAAGAATGTTTCGAAATATCTGTAAGTTCTCTCAAACATCAGATTGATAGAAGGAAGAGCTTTATCAAAGAAATTGATGAATCTTCTAAAGATTTTCAGAAAGAATTCGAAAAAGAAAAACAGGATAAAGATGACACAATTTCATTTTTAAACCTTACAGTCGAAGAAGGGAAAGAGAGAATTAAACAACTACGCGAAGAACTTTTCAATCGTACAAAACAACACGCGTGGGACAAAGAGGAGCTAAAAAATAGTAGCATAGATGCAAAAGAAAAGTTGCAAATAAAATTAGATGCCTTAAAAATAGAAAACAATGCATTAAATGAAGAGCTTCGCACTTTGCAAGAATTTGAAGAAAACAGGTTTAAAATAGAAGAAGAAATAAAATTTCTAAAAGAAAGCATTAATGAAGACAGTGCAAAATTCATAAAAGAAAAGGAAAATTTGGAACGACAAACAATGTTAGAGAACGACAAATTGAAAAGTGACGTTTTTAAGAAAGTAGAAGAGGTCGGAGAAAAATTTCGAAGCATCTATAACCAACGTACTGCAGAAAATATTCTCTTGGCTCTTCGCGAGAATCTTCGAATGGATATGGAAAGAAAAGAACTAGAGGTAAAGTTAACGCAGACGAAAAATGAAATTTCCGAACTGAAAAACACGAAAAATCAACTGTGTGAAAGCTTAAATACTTATTCAGAAACTGCTGACAAAGAAGGTTTTAGATATCGTCTCCAATTGATAGCATGGAAAAGATTAAAAGAAAAGTGTCGTATTCAAGATGAGAAACTTAAACAAATGTCAGAATGCCAGAAGGAACATTCGAATATGGTCGACACGGTTAAGAAGTTGAAAGAAAATACAGCAAACGGAGAAAGAAAACTATCGTATTTGATTAAAGAAGAAGAAAATCTGATACAACGTAAAGATAAAATTAGAGAGGAGCTAAACAAAGTAGAAAACGAAAGAATCGGTTTAGTATCTGTTATTAAAGACGTTGTGGAAAGTAGTAAACAGGGAACGAATTATGTTCAAGATACCGAAGAAGATATTATTGAATATTTGGGTAAAAGGCAGATTATGTTGAAACAACAAAAAGAAATTCTGGAAACAGCAACAAAATTAACGAACATTAATGATTTTGATGAACTGATATGGATGCAACATCAAGTTAATATGCCGTATCCCAAATCGTTCGAAGTAGATAAAGCACCTTTGATGCAATCCTTGGGTGATTTGGGATTCGTTCCGTAATTATCAAAAGTAAACTTATATTTATGATCATTTATATTAATATTTGTAGTGGATTAATAATTATTATGTATTTAAATAATAAAAATTTAATATTTAAAAGACTTTTCCTTTTCCTTCTGTTATGGGAAAGTATGGCGATCGGTTAAAAATGTCCCCCAAGTAGTTTTAGTCTCAAGTTTGTGCCCGATAAACGAGCTGGCAGCATGGAGTTTCCTTTCTTTTCTTTTTTTTAACCTGACAAATAAGGATGCCAGGCTCTGGGAAACGTGAAACAGAATCTGAGCGAGCTTCTTTGAAGGATTTTTCACTTGTAGTCTGTCCTGGAATGTCGGGCCTCGTTCCATCCGGCCGCCAAATTGTGAGCTTGATCGAATTCACGTGAATAATAGAAGAAAAAAATGGTGCTTGGCTTATCTTTTAACAATATTCTTAAGTACTGAACTCAGTATGTAGATAAACTGATTTTGAATATGTGGATTTGGTTATTTAGTAGCCTACACTGCGTTAGTATGTTTAGAAGCTGGACCCTATATAGGTGTTACTAACGTGAAGATAAATCGGAAAACTACTGTGGCTGTCTCGTTGGCCATGCCCGAATTCACGACAAACTAAATTTATTGCCGATTTATGGCGCTACGTGTAAATCAGAAAATTGAATGTAGATAGAAATTAATTCACAGAAATTCAATAGATATTTTGGGATGGAATGTACATACGACATGATCTAAGTTAGAACTATCCAGTTTCGTAGCAATTGGTCGAACGGCCAAGGAGTGTATAGCGATACAAACAAACAAATTAAATGATTCCTTTATACTTATGAAACAGTTTAAACACAGCATCCGTGCTCTTTAATGAAAATATCTTTAGAATGTTTTAGCATTTTGCAAATATCTATGTTGACAAAGTTACACAGGAAGATTAAGACAACTGTAGTGTGTGTATATTTAGTGTACCAGAGCCCCTTTAGCCGCCATTCGAAAACGAGTGACGTTTCCACTTCCCAGGACGAGGACATAGGGGTTGGATTTCGGGAAGCAGTGTTGGTGTTATGTGACGGTGTCGTTTACTGTAACGAAGCGTGATATGTAAATGATTGGATGCGACGAACAAACTAGATAATGGTTCAATTGTGAATGTTACGGCGAGGGATGTTTGTAAGGATGTGTTGTAATGAAACCATCGAAATCGTCCAAATAACGAAATTCCTGCTTCTTCGTCCTCAATACAGTACGGTCGCGGTCAAAGACCTCGATGTCTTTCTATATTTTCGCCACTCTTCTGCAAACACCAGCGATACGTCGTCGTCTGTCTTGTCCATCCATTTGTTTCCGAATTTAAAACTCGTTCCGATTGACGGACTAATACCTACCTGGCGCCGAGGACAGCTTATTGCACTCCAAACCGGGTAAGACGGAGCGTGTAATTTGTGGTATACCTGGCGCTAAGTATCTAGCAATCCTTTAATAATAAATATCGTTAGATTCGAGCTCCCGGGTTCCACGTCAGACGAAAGCGTGCTCCCGGGCACTCGAAATCTAACCGTCCTACGACATTCTAAACAATATGAAATAAACGGCTTTACAATACAAGACTCGTATTCGTATTGTTTCTGTAACAATAGAGAGGTTGCGGCCGACGTTTTCATCGCGAAAACGTGTACGTCGGACGTTCAGCGCCGCCTTCCTGTAAGCTTAGAAGTTTGACAACGGCGTTTGGGGAACGTCTGTGGAATCATGCTCGACGTATCAAACGGCATTGTCAAACTTCTAAGCTTACAGGAAGGCGGCGCTGAACGTCCGACGTACACGTTTTCGCGATGAAAACGTCGGCCGCAACCTCTATTAGCATTGAAACAATTATTAAATTTTCAAGTCAACTGTTTGAATTATTAATTTTTGTTTTTCGTTTCAAAATTATTGTATTTTTATATAATATTTGAATATTATTTTGTCTTCATTCAGTTTAAAATATTTATCGGCAGCTTTGGTGTGATAAGCCAGATGAAAGGTGAAGGACAGAAAAGAGAGACCGCCGATATGGTTCAATCTAAGGAGGGTATTAATAATAGGGATGAGTGAAAATAAAGCATAAGTGTGCTTAAAAGCACTCTTATATTATTATTGTATAAGTGACGGATTGTACATGGACATCATTGCAGCCAACTGAGAAATTTCCTTTTTTAAATTCTCATCACCGCTCGCTCCCGGTCGATCCGATTCGGATAATATTCGGGAAACGGATCCTAATTGAAGGAGTAAAACTATTTAAAATGAATAACAATGTATTGAATAAATTTATTGTAATTAAACGATCATTAAAAGTATTTAAAAATAAATATATTAAATAGATTAATTTTTTAAATAAATACTAAATTTCTAAGTCATCCACTAGAGTGCGCTGTTTCTNATACATTTATTGTAATTAAACGATCATTAAAAGTATTTAAAAATAAATATATTAAATAGATTAATTTTTTAAATAAATACTAAATTTCTAAGTCATCCACTAGAGTGCGCTGTTTCTTTTGATTTGAATTTTCTGGGTCAACGTGACTACAGAAGCATGGCTTTTACCACAAAATCAGTTCTTAAAAAATTATTCAATAGACAAATATTTTGTTGTTTACAATTCAGAATTCGAAGAAATCACATTATTCAAAACACTTTATCTCGTATAAATGAGAATGGAGAAGCAATAATTTATATTCATGTAAGAAATATTGCTACGTATCTACGTAAAGTAAACGAATGTAATGATAAGTTTCATCAGAACTTTTATTGTTTTATTATATTATACTTTCCCGGCTTAAGAAGGAAAGTATTGCGCAAATTGAGACCTCCTTTTTTTTGCATTTCTTGACGTTTTAAAGTCCCCTGATTTCAAAAACAAATTTTGTACGTGTTTGCCTGTATTTTACTTTGTCTTAGGACTCAATGGACTAAATACATTTGGGGCACTGGTACTATCATATTTTGGAGATTACAAATCAAGGGTCAGACTTAATGCAAATTTTACTTATTGGCATTTACAGTTTTTTTTCAAAAATAGCACCCCTACACCAAAACAATGTTTTTGCTTTTTTTTTTTCCTCTCTTAACTTTTAGAAATTATAATTGAAACAACGTACCCAGAACCGATAACCAGTGTGCACAGAAACCAAAAATTAATGCAGACATTTTCAAACTCTGCCAGAGTTCTCCTTCGAGTGTTATAATGGTCACTTAACGGAACGTCTTAAAAACTTTTTGGAATATACAAATTTGAACAAGATGTGGAATTACCTGAAGAAGAACTCTGGAGGAGTTTGAAAATGTTTGTGTTAATTTTTGGTTTATCTGCACACCGGTTATTGGTTCTGGATACCTTGTTAACTATTTCCCAGTGTGCTGTGGTGTTGTATAATTGAAAATTGTCGTCTTTCCTGGTTCTCTTATTTTTCTATTTGAGTGCCAGGAAAGTCATGCAAGAGCCCTTGCCAGCTTTTTTTTTAAGTCCTTGTATATTAATATATTTTTTATTTTCCAATTATTGCTGTTGAGATTCATTTTCCCATAAAGACTGAAATTAGTGTTTGGCTAAACACTTTATTGTTATAATTATTGTTTAAGTCAAACAATTATTTCAGTTTTATTTTTCTTGGAATGTTATAAAGTTAGACATATTATTCAAATGAAATGTATTACTATAATTGAGCATAACGTTTGATCTATTATAAATGTAAATTCAACATCTCCGATTGGGTATATATAAACAAGTACTACACACAAAAACCAATATCCAGCAAGAAACTACAAAACATTTCTTTTGTAGATTGTTGTAGTTTCTTGCTGGATATTGATTTTATGTATAGTGCCTATTATAAACATATTTCTCTATATTTAATTCTTCCTACAGGGAATTGGTCACATTGTTAATAACATGGAACATTACTAGTTGATCCTGCATTGCTGTTCAGAGCAACCACACTCCTTATTTTTTGTATTTAATTTTGATATCTGTATTTGTGAGTTTTTTTTTTACAGCTGATACAAAATGTAAATGCCTTGTATGAAAATATTTTTGCAATTTTATGTATTGATAATATATGGCATGCTAAAGAATACTGCCAAATTTCATTCGAATTGGGTGCATATTTTTTTAGTCACATCAATTTTTACATTTGTTGCTTAATTTAAGGAAACCAATGTAATTATGTTGTTGCAAAATTAAAAAAAAATAATTTGATATTTAAAATTCTTGTTTCAAAAACAGTCTTAACAAATCATCAACTAAAATACTTTTAATTTTTGCTAACAAGAAGGCTCTTTCAAAGCTTTATTAAACTGACTATGGGAGCAATAGCCTTGAAAGCATTTTAAAGTGAAGGTTTCATTCAGTTGAAGATTGATATTATTTATGTGATGAGAACATAAAGTCTGTGTTGTCATGAGATTTAGCAATTACCAAAATTCTTTTGAATTTTTTATTATATTTAATCAATTAAAGCAAATTTAAAATATAATTTAGCTATCATACTCTATTTACTTCAAAGTACTATTCATAATTATTAGTATTTTCAATTGTACCTTGTTACAGAATCCATATTATTCTGTAAATTTCAAATGCAATTTAATAATTAAACAAAAATTACATAATCTCTTGATAAGTTGTATTAAATAATTTAAATTTTATATTATTAAATATTTAAAAAAACAGTCAATTTAGTTACAGAAAAAATAGTAAACATAAAATAAATTTTTTTTCTAGTGGCCTTATTGTATGAAAAGATGTACTTATTGTAATTTTAATAAATATATACAGTAAGTAGATTTAAGTTTCTTTCATTCTGTTCTTTGTTATTTTGCTTTTGTATTTTAATTTATATAAATATTTTCAGTAATAATGTGAATCATTCAAGAATGTTATCATGTTTAAGGAAAGAAATTAAATATTTATTGCAGTTAAGTGGTATTAAAAATATCAAAAGTATTTATTTTGGAGGAGGTAATAAATATTTAATTTTTTCTCATAATTTTAAATATATGGAAAATAACTTGTCTTTTTCTTTTGATTTATTTTACAGTTTATGAGAAGTTTTTAATTATATGGTGTTTAATATATATTTAACTATGTATATTACTATACTATGCAGGTTGTCTATAAAGTTCATGTGCACTTTTAAATAGTTTTGGAACTATTCTTGATAGAATTAATCTGCAAAAAACATTCATAAGCCTGATATGTCTAGTTTTTTTCTCATTATTTCAAAAATTAATTATTATTTTTCTTGCCCATTATTTATTTATTTATTTATTCATTTTTGAAACTTTAAAATGACTCTTTTCTTTTCAGAATTGTTATTGAACCATGGCTTCTCTAAGTGAGAAAGTAAACTGCATTCTTTGGTTGCCTAAGCTGAAATCTGTCACTTATGTCCAAAGATAGATCCATGGTTGAATAACAATTCTGGAAAAAATAAATATAATAACAATAATAGATAAGAAGAATAATAATCATCAGTTCTTTAAATAATGAGAAAAAACTACACACATCAGTCTTATAAATGCTTTTTACAGATTAATTCTACCATGTATAATTCCAAAACTATTAAAAACTGACACAGACTTTATAAATCCCTGCATATATATTATTGCTATATATTACTCTATTTTCTCTACTCTACTCTATATTTAAATATGTGGTATTTTTCTACAGGTACTCCTAGTCTAGCTAAACCGTCAACAATAAATTCATGTATAGAATGCATCAGTGACAATTCAAAATTACACGATAATGCAGAAATAACATTAGAATGTAATCCAACTAATGCAGAGTCAAATTTACTCAGGTTTGTCTATTGTATTTTATATAAACACTAGCTGTGCCCACGGTTTCGCCCGCGTGGAATTCAGTTTGTGACTATAACAGTATCAGTAAAAAATCAATATACAAATTTTTATCACTCCCAAAGAAAGTATTTTTATTCAAAAGTCACAAATTTTCATTGTTAATTTTTTAAACATGCACATGAAGGTCGGAAATTTTTAAAGCGTTTTTTTATGTTTGTTTGTAATTTTTTGCGCATGTTTTTAAAAATAATGTTGTTGTTTGTTTTTTTGCAATTATATATTCCACTCTTTTGTATTTTGTAATTTCTGTTATCTGTGGTAGACATATTTAAATTTATTAGTGCCTTAGGGCTTCTCTGTACACAATGTTTGATGTCGTGTTATTTTTGGTAGCAAAATATACTGTTTCTCTGGAGTTCCAACTCGTGATAAACCAACATATAGTTGGCCATGGGAAAAACACTCTTTTTATAAGTCGATTCCAACCAAAGAGAAGGTTTGTCCCTGGGACTTATTAATAGTCATCGCAAATGATGTTTTCACGGGAAATTGCAGCTGTTTGAAAGATATTGGGAAGTCCGTGGGAATCATTGGAATCCTCGGGGTGTTTGCCAGTGAGGATGGTCGCCAGTCTTTTAAGTCTTTAATTAGTAGCCTTGTGCCATTACACGTGTTAGGAGGGCTTAAATTTCTTAAAAGCATGATAGGCATACCGACTTTTAATGGTAGTTCATGAGATGGCAAGTCAGAAGAATTAAGCAAATTTAAAAATTCTTGTGGATAGTGGACTGCATCCTCGATATTGGTGACTGTGTCAATCGACTTATAGTTTTTGATTTGGCTGGGGACTTTCTGTATAATTAGATTGTTGATTTCATTGACAGTGTCGTTCCTAGGCTATACTATTGCCCTTGAACACAGCCAATAAAAGTCTCTTTCGAGTAAATTTTTGAGGCCAGAATATACTGCATCTATAAGATGCTGCAGACTGTGGACTATCTGACTTAGTGTCTCATTTAGAACGATGTCAGTACAGTTAGTGCTCAAATTTGGAGAAGGAAAAACTCCTTCCCCAAGTTTGAGCAGTTGTGGGAAGTCATTATGCGTGTCTCCGCTAAGATAGGCTCTCATGTTAGTTCACAAGTTCAGGTTTTGAATGGAATACCATAAGGGAGATGATTTAAGACATGCTTTGATGATATCTGCACGTGTCCCTTTTGTAACTACAGGGAGTGTCTGCCGAAAATCACCAGCAAACACAAAAGTAACTCCCCCATAATGGCGCTCGAGTTTCTAAGATCCTTTAGCATTTGGTCCACAGCTTCAACATGGGCTCTGTGACTCATGGTACATTCGTCCCACATTATCAGTAACACGTCCTGTAACAATTTGCCAAGAGGCCTGTTTTTGCGTATGGAACATACGGATTGTTGCTCCAGAGATACTGATAAAGGGAGTTTGAATGTGGAGTGTGCAGTTTTCCCGTCACTCAATAGAGTAGCAGCAATCCCTGAAGAAGCAACTGCCATGGCTATTTTTCCAGATTGCCTTATCTGTGCTAGTAATAAATTGGAGAGGAATGCCTTTCCCATGCCTCCTGGGGCGTCGAAAAAAAAATATTTTGCCTCTTATTCGTCACACTGTCAATTATTGTATCAAATGCCTATAATTGATCTGTGACTAATTTTGACAAATTTTCATTGACAAAATCTGTACAATCTGACTGACATCTGTACTGACATCGTACTGACGTACCAGCATTGTACCCATTGCATCATTTCGTGAACGAATAGGAGAGGGTAATCCAAAATCACTTAAACTTTTGTCATTGAATTCCAATAGCTTATTATCGATTTGTATCAAATCTTCGTTGTACATATCGTCATTGAAAGGCAAAGTATTCAATAAAATCCTGATTTTGATGTTGAATTCTGTGTCTGATGTCTTCACAAAAATCTTCTTTGAACTTGTCCCACAATTTTAATGGTTCAGATGACTGACAAAATAGAATGACTACAAACAACTCCCTCAGCTTTAATGGACGTTGCAAAATCGAAGCTTCTCTCAAAGTATTTTCCCAATGATCATCAGTTTCGAGCAAACCTCTATCTCAGCAAGCTGCTTGATACGTTTCTTTGACAACTCCATTTACAGTTTTTAAGTCCTCGAATGAGGTTGGACCACGTACATGATGCAGTAACATTCTGAGATAAAAACACTCAGATTGAGAAGGATGTACACCATATATTCTTCCCAAAGCAGCATCTTTCTTTATGCCTGGATGCCCATCAATGTTTTGACCATGCCTTCTTCTTGAAAATTTGTTATTAGCCCACATATAATAGTGTGGAACTTCGTGATACAATAGAGTTTTTGAAGAAAGCTAAAAGTGGGGTTTTGCGTGGGTTTTGGGCAAGTTTTTGCGCTGTTCCTGCTGTGAAGTACACCCTTTGACAGTTTTCTAAGTGTACGGCCAAATGCACAATGGTAGGATACCGGTTGTGGATCAGAAATTCTAATATTCTCCAGACAGATTCTGATTTACTTATGTACCGGCCATTTAAATAGTTTTCCATCTCGTCATGCAGATTTCTGACACTGAAAGTAGCTTAATCCGATCCTTTATTTATATATTTGCATATATATTTGATCGCTTGAACTGAATGGCAGTATTCTACGTTAATGTGGGCATTAAATGATCGATACAATATTGGGGAATAAGGGACAATCTACCTATTGTCTATAGTAACCTTTCTTCCTCTGATGTTCAAGGTAGCATTCCGACCTCCATTTTCAGTGTCACGGTGACGATATAATGGATACCCATCCTCTCCAGTCTGAGTGTTGTTGACAAAACGCCAAGGGTGTTTTTTTGAACAAATATCATTTTTCATACATGGTGGTGATATATTTTGATCTCCACGGGGTCCATGCACCATATTTTTGGTCACAATATCGAATAATACAGGATCGGCATCTTTATCCAGTAATTCAGCAACTATTACACTGTCAATTTCATCTGGTTGTATTTTCCTTTCCAACCAAAACAACATATGGCAGTGTAATCTGCATTTTTGCCACTCAACACTGAGCATATGGCATTTGACTTTACCGAATATCTTGTCTTTTGTGAATAACTTCATAATTTTCTTCATCTTTAACCGCTTCTTGTCCACTTTTTAAAAAAATTTTTAATTAAGCATAAAAAATACTTAAAACTGAAAAAAAGACGTTAATTTTGATTAAAAAGATTCATCATTTAGTTTCCTTTGTCTGGCCTTTGTGTGAAATTTAACACTGATGAGTCATTGTTTACACATCTGGATGACCTTGAGAACAGCTGTTGTGGTATTTCCCGGGACATTCTCATAGATGTCTCGGGAGGAGAAGGGTTTAAAGTAGGGTGACTTGAAATTAAACCTATATTTTTAAAAAATTATAATTTTTATTGCGATTTTTGACCCCCCCTAATTAATTAAACATATATATGTTACCGCTAAAGCTCGAAATCCGTTAATGTGTACATTACCTAGCTAATCTGCAGATTAACTAGGGTGATCCGTTAAAGTTGTGAAAATTATTCCATTTCTCAAATTACCTAGGTAATCTGCGAATTACCTACTAGGCACTCGGTAAAGTTAAAATAAGATCTTTGCTGGAACAACAGCAACGTTTCTGTACGCTTAAATTAACATAATGTTCTTTATTTAATTTTCAATATCTAAAGAATCAAGTTAATACAATCAACAAATTAGTTGATTGAATCAATCATCAATCAATTAAAAAAACTTTAATACAAAAATCAAACGGTTTAAAATATTACTACAATTAGGGAAATGAATTTGCAAAACATATGATAAAATTGTACTTACTTATTAGTGCAATCTAAAGATTGGTGACACTTTGAATTACGTAGCAATTGGTTTTTGCGACAAGCACGCCTATTTGTGGTACATTTAGATTTGCAGTCACATTTTCTGAAACCCTGCCCAGTACCAAGGGATTGTTTTATTGCTGTTTGACGTAAAGATATTTCTACAGCAGGGACATCCATCTTCTTTCGTTAAAAATCTCTCTTTGCAAACACTGAATTCAGATTTTGCATACAATTGTTTTAAAATACCTGTTTTAGTATCAAGTTTATAAAAGCCATCCTCTGTTTTACTAAGAACCACAGCTAAAATTGAACGTGCATCAGTTTTTGCTCTGTCTTCTTCGGGTACTTTAATTCTCACAGCGAAACCTTCATCGACGTTTGGGTGCTTTGCATTAGAAACTGCTAACATTTTCTTTGCTTGCTTTTCTAAACATTTCTTGGCTTCATCACGCTGTATTTTCTGATCCATATTCTTTTTACAGATGATGCACAATACATTCTTACCATACCCTTCCTCTTTAGGATCTACTTCACCACAAACTGCGTGAACAAACATATTACACGATTTACACTTGTGAGCACTTGATGCTGCTTTTGAGCAAACAATACAGACTATGTCTTGTATAGTGCTCTTTACAGGCTCCGTACGAAACTGTGATGGCGATTCTGCTGAAGTTGAGAGTAACTCAGTGATGACTTCTTCAACTTGCAGAGGCGATTCCTTGGAGGTGCAGGGTAACTGAATATTCTTCGTGACTGCATCATCAATCAACGGTATAGAAGGCAGTTTAAGATTACTATCGGTAAATTCTTGTATTTCTATAGGTGATTCTGTAGAAGCGGGGGATAACGGAATGTCCTCTTGAGTAAGATTTGACTGTGATCTCATAATCACAGTCTCTTGTGAATCTTCTAATTTTTCAAGGTCTTCTTCAGTTTTTATCGAATGTCAAACAATTCTCCGGCATGGACAAACTTTTTCAAACCTTTCTCGCGCATCTGACAACGGCTCAATGAGTTTTTCACAGCCTCGTACAGTCAACACATCACACCTTTGAATTATTTGATAATCTCGAGATGATTCTTTCTTCTTGGAAACTTTTATTTGCTTTACATCTTCAA